TTTAGACAATTCAAATACATAATCTAATTTTAATTTCCTTTAATATTTAGTCATGTAACTAATACTTATTAAACTTATTTTAGCATGATTTAGTACTTTTAAATTATTATCATTTTCATTATGACTTGTTAATTTGCAATATTTGTTTTACGCAATTTCATTATTATTATTTTTTTGTTGGATATTTTAGTGTCATTACTCATATCATATTTTGTGTTATTTTCTTAAGAAACACCTTAGATAGTTGTATTTTGGTAGAACTAAAGAAATATTTGAAGTACAAGTAAATTATATGTTTGTACGAATACTTTACCGGAAAAACTCAAAAATCCAAAAGAAACCAAAAAAAACCAAAAAAACCTGAGACTGAAAAACCAGAGTTTTATTGGTTTGGTTTGGTTTATAGATTTAAAAATCTGACACAAATGATTTGGTTTTATATTTGAAAAACCCGAACCAACCCGGTCATGTACACCCCTAATTTTGAGTAATCTACCCCTTCTAAACAAGTTTTTGGGATTGAGTTAGGTCTAATATTTATTTTTTAATCATAATGTCAGAGTCATACTAATTCCAATTTATTTTTTTCAATGTTGGACCTCCCATTTTATATTGTACACTCTCCAGATGTACGATCATGAGCATACCCCAGCCCCACTTCGATGGGATTAGGGGTATTTGGTTTCTTTTTATGGTCTTTATTAAGTCCCACATCCGTACGCTAAGGAAAATATCAAGATACGTATCATCTACAAACCAAACTCTTAAATATATTAGACTAAGAGCTCGAATGGATTGACTGAAAATACTTTTAAGTAAAAAAACATATAGTTACTTTAGGTTTTTAACTTTTTAAGTCATGTTAAATTTGTTTTAACTTATTTTTAATTATGTCAAACACTTCCAAAAATTGAAAATAACTTAAAAATATATTTGACCAACTTTTAAGTCAATTCAAACATACTCTAAATTGGATAAATTAAACGTACAATCATGCATAAGATAAGAATATTTATTCATATACCTACGCATCATAAAATCAAGTCAATTTTTCTTTTTTAATTGCATATAAATAACTTAATTATATTCGTACCATCTTAAGGGTCACCTTCTCATTACATCAAATCACTTAGTTATACTCAACTTTAGTGGATCCGTTTAATTAGTATATTAAATTAATTAAACCATATAAATATTGTTCAATACGCAAACAAAAATGCTTTCGATAAATCCTTGTTTATATTACTCATGATTACTTTTGAATGAAACGTATATGAATATCTTCTTTCGAGATTAGTACAACACTATTTTGAATTTAAAAAAATCTTTTTGGCCAGAAAATTTGGCTAGAATTTAATCAGAATGATATTTATTTTTTATGTTATTTTATCATTTTAAATATTTTTATCCTTTTAACTTTAATTCATTTTAATTAAAATATGGAAAAAACATCAATTTATTTTAAATTAAAAAAATTATTATTTTTTTATTTTTTAGCCAAATTCTGGCCAAACTTTTTGGCCATTTATCACTTCCCTTTGAATAATTAATGTTTGATAAAAAAAAAATAACATATTATAAACTCAAAGAACAAGCTGTCTATTAATTTCGAATTTTTTTTTTGTTTGATTTGGTTTATAGATTTAAAAATCCGACACAAATAGTTTGGTTTGATATTTGAAAAATCCGAACCAACCCGGTCATGTACACCCCTAATTTTGAGTAATCTACCCCTTCTAAACAAGTTTTTGGGATTGAGTTAGGTCTAATAGTTATTTTTTAATTATAATATCAGAGTCATACTAATTCCAATTTATTTTTTTCAATGTTGGACCTCCCATTTTATATTGTACACTCTCCAGATGTACGATCATGAGCATACCCCCATCCCCACTTCGATGAGATTAGGGTATTTGGTTTCCTTTTATGGTTTTTATTAAGTCCCACATCCGTAGGCTAAGGAAAATATCAAGATATGTATCATCTACAAACCAAACTCTTAAATATATTAGACTAAGTGCTCGAATGGATTGACTAAAAATGCTTTTAAGTAAAAAAAATATATAGCTACATTAGGTTTTTAACTTTTTAAGTCATTTTAAATTTGTTTTAAGTTATTTTTAATTGTGTCAAACACTTTCAAAAATTGAAAATAACTTAAAAATATATTTGATCAACTTTTAAGTCAATTCAAACCTGCTCTAAATTGGATAAATTAAACGTACAATCATGCATATATAAGATAAGAATATTTATTTATATACCTACACATCATAAAATCAAGTCAATTTTTCTTTCTTAATTGCATATAAATAACTTAATTATATTCGTACCATCTTAAGGGTCACCTTCTCATTACATCAAATCACTTAATTATACTCAACTTTAGTGGATCTGTTTAATTTGTATATAAAATTAATTAAACCATACAAATATTGTTCAATACGACAAACAAAAATGCTTTCGATAAATCCTTGTTTATATTACTCATGATTACTTTCGAATGAAACGTATATGAATATCTTCTTTCGAGATTAGTACAACAAAGGAAAAAAAAATTTGGCCAGAATTTAGTTAGAGTGATATTTTTTTCTATGTTATTTTATCATTTTAAATATTTTTATCCTTTTAACTATAATACATTTTAATTAAAATATGGAAAAAACATCAATTTATTTTAAAATTAAAAAAAATATATTATAATTTTTTTAATTTTCTGGCCAAATTTTCTGGCCAATTATCACTTCCCTTTGAATAATTAATGTTTGATAAAAAAAAACTAACATATTATAAACTCAAAGAACAAGCTGTCTATTAATTTCAAAAATTTTCTTTGTTTTATAGATTTAAAAATCTGACACAAATAGTTTGGTTTGATATTTGAAAAAACCCGAACCAATTCGGTCATGTACACCCTAATTTTGAGTAATCTTCCCCTTCTAAACAAGTTTTTGGGATCGAGTTTGGTCTAATATATATTTTTTAATCATAATATCAGAGTCATACTAATTCCAATTTATTTTTTTCAATGTTGGACCTCCCATTTTATATTGTTCACTCTTCAGATGTACGATCATGAGCATACCCCCAGCCCCACTTCGATGGGATTAGGGGTATTTGGTTTCCTTTCATGGTCTTTATTAAGTCCCACATCCGTACGCTAAGGAAAATATCAAGATATGTATCATCTACAAAGCAAACTCTTAAATATATTAGACTAAGAGTTCGTATGGATTGACTGAAAATGCTTTTAAGTAAAAAAAAATATAGCTACTTTAGGTTTTTAACTTTTTAAGTCATTTTTATTTGTTTTAACTTATTTTTAATTATGTCAAACACTTCCAAAAATTGAAAATAACTTAAAAATATATTTGACCAACTTTTAAATCAATTCAGATATGCTTTAAATTGGATAAATTAAACGTACAATCATGCATAAGATAAGAATATTTATTTATGTACCTACACATCATAAAATCAAGTCAATTTTTCTTTTTTAATTGCATATAAATAACTTAATTATATTCGTACCATCTTAAGGGTCACCTTCTCATTACATCAAATCACTTAATTATACTCAACTTTAGTGGATCCATTTAGTTTGCATATAAAATTAATTAAACTGTATAAATATTGTTCAATACGACAAACAAAAATGCTTTCAATAAATCCTTGTTTATATTACTCATGATTACTTTTGAATGAAACGTATATGAATATCTTCTTTCGAGATTAGCACAACACTATTTTGAATAAGGAAAAATCTTTTTGGCCAGAAAATTTGATTAGAATAATATTTTATTTATATTATTTTATTATTTTAAATATTTTTATTCTTTTAACTTTAATACATTTTAATTAAAATATGGAAAAAACATCAATTTATTTTAAAATAAAAAAAATATTTTAATTTTTTAAATTTTCTAGCCAAATTCTAGCTACCATTTAGCACTTCCCTTTGAATAATTAATGTTTGATAAAAAATTTTTAACATATTATAAACTCAAAGAACAAGTTGTCTATTAATTTCGAGAATTTTCTTTGGTTTGATTTAATTCATAAAATCGAAAAGGGGAGTTACATTTACTATTTATAAAGTTGGTAAGGTAGAGGTATTGAGAATATAATTAAATAATAAAAATGTGTTATTTCACCGCCATCCAAAATTTAAAAGAATTTCCACATATTTGATCCATGAAAAAAGAATCAGACCTGCACGTGAGGGGTGATTGTTCTGAATAAATGTTTGTGTTGATATCTTTTATCTTCATTCCAAAGGGCAATTTTCAATCAAAGAAGATTTGATACTAGTATACGGCTCTACCATTGCAACACCAAGTACAATACCTGCATAGACTTGATTTTTTGATTAATTAATTAAATAAAAATTTAAGCGAATTAAAATGAGTGAATCATTAACCCGTACCAAACTTAATAGAGTTAACCAACAAGGATTGTAGTAGAGTGGTAGGTACTCCTTCATTCTTAAGCAGATATTTTGAGTTCGAGTCCTCATGTGTATGAAGTCGCCTTTGTTAGGAGCGCTTTACCCCAATATGAGACTTCTCGCGTAAATCCAAATTTAGCCGGGCTCTAACGTGGATACCGAACATCAAGTTGACTTGACCATATGTTCAATGATTAAATGGGAACAAGTCGAACAAACTCTCATTATTAAGTACATGCGTAGAAGTAACATAAAATTAGCTTTAAAAGGATCACGTTACTTAAGAAATTTGAAAAATGAACGTTAATTCAAATAATTATGCATGAAACACTTTTTTATGACTAATTCCATATTAATATTTTGACATTAAATCATACACATGTGGATAACCAAGAAGGAAAAAGAAAAATTGAAATATCTTTCTGAAAAAATTCACTGCCGTACCATTTTAATCATTTAAGTTGTGTTAGAAATGAAAAGGTTAACAGTTTAATACAAGGTGTATAAATAGAAATATATTTGAGATAAATATGATATCATATAACTAGAAAAAATGATTATGATAATTTTTATTCTCTTAGTAACTCTTCCTATTGTACTCAATTTCCTAGCCAAAAAGGGTAGGAAAAATGTTATGCCACCTGGTCCTATAGGGTTACCATTTATTGGAAATTTGCATCAATACGATGATTTAACCCCTCATATTTATTTTTCGAAACTAGCCAAGAAATATGGAAAAATATTTTCACTAAAACTTGGTTCAACTCCAATAGTTGTAATTTCTTCAGCAAAATTAGCAAAAGAAGTGTTAAAAATACAAGATTTAACATTTTGTAGTAGACCTTCTTTTTTTGGCCAACAAAAATTGTCTTACAATGGCCATGATATTGCATTTGCGCCTTACAATGACTATTGGAGAGAAATGCGAAAAGCTTGTGTTGTTCATTTGTTCAATCTCAAAAAAGTACAATCTTTTAGTCCGATTCGTGAAGATGAAGTATCTAGAATGATTACGAAAATATCCCAACAAGCAACTGCTTCCCAAATTACAAATTTGAGTAATTTAGTGATTTCACTAACAAGTACTATTATTTGTAGAGTTGCTTTTGGTATTAGATATGACGAAGAAGCACATGAAAAGAAGAGATTTGATGAACTTTTAGCTATGGCACAAGAAATGATGGCGCGGTTCTTTTTCATTGATTATTTTCCTATGCTCGGTTGGCTTGATAAATTATTTGGAAATATTAGTAGACTTGAAAAGAATTATAAAGATTTAGATGAGTTTTATGAAGAACTCATTGACCAACATCTTAATCCCAATAAGCCAAAATCCATGGAAGGAGATATTATTGATCTTTTGCTACAATTGAAGAAAGAGCAATCAAATCCTATTGATCTCACTTTGGACAACATAAAGGCAATTCTCATGGTAAGTGATCAACGATACATGTCTAGTATAACCAATATATGCATATAGATAAAGAATTTAAGTTATATATATCGATAGTATGCATGTCTAGTACGTACTTGTATACACAACTATTTTTATGACAATATTTTTCGTTTCATCTCAATTTGATTATTTTGTAGAATATATTTGCTGGTGGAACAGACACAAGCGCGGCTGCAGTAGTATGGGCAATGACAGCCTTGATGAAAAATCCAAAAGTCATGAAGAAAGTCCAAGAAGAAATTAGAAAATCAATTGGGACTAAAGGCTTTGTGAATGAAGATGATGTTCAAAACATGCCTTATCTCAAAGCAGTGATAAAAGAGACATTTAGATTATATCCACCAGCTCCACTTTTAGTGCCAAGAGAAACAATGAAAAAATCCACACTAGAAGGGTATGAAATTAAGCCAGGAACTATAATTCATGTTAGCTCTTGGGCGATTGCAAGGGATCCTAAAATATGGGAAAATCCAGAAGAATTTATGCCTGAGAGATTCTTGAATAGTGATATTGATTTTAAAGGCCAAGATTTTGAGTTGCTTCCATTTGGAGCAGGCCGAAGAGGTTGCCCAGGTATTCAATGGAAACGATGATTTTATTGAATCCACACTATTATATATTATACGTGAAAATCTTACATGTTTTTGATCTATAAAAGATTTAAGTTTTGAATTCGTCTTTGTAGGTATTGCACTTGGTGTTGCAACGGTGGATCTTATGCTTTCAAATCTTCTTTATGCATTTGATTGGGAATTGCCTTATGGGATGAAGAAAGAAGATATTGACACAGATGTCATGCCTGGAATTCTTATGCACAAGAAAAATGATCTTTGTCTTGTCCCTAAAAAATATTTCTAGATTAGCTACATCGATATCTAATCATAATTTTATGTCTAATATATCCATTATCACTTATGTTTGATATAGGGTCATGTGGCTTGCCACTTTAATTTTCATTGTAATTTTGTTGCTATTTGCTAATAAAGAGTTGTGTGTCTTCATCTAAAATATTTCGGTGTATGTATTCTTGGTTCAATAAATATTACATAGATAATATATATTTGTATTAGTTCATTTGCATATTCATTTGAGGCATGCAACGAAGATTTATATAAAATTTATGAATTTCTATAGCGATCTCAAATTAATATATCTAAATTACTTCCTAACAAAGATGCAACTCTTCAACTATGAATTTCTATAGCGATATGTAAAACTTAAGCTATCAATTCAACCCTTCCTTATTTATTTCTAGTTTTGCTTTGAGTATGCCTCGTATAACTTATTTTGATTATTATTTATGTGAGATGCACGTTATTGTAGAGATTTGATTTTATAGCTTTAAATAAACTTGTTTTTACATTTATGTCATTTTTATATTTATAAGAAGAAGGTTTTTACACATAACATATCTTCTGAAAAAATCATTTCCTCACATTTTTTATTTTATGTGTTTTGCACAACAATAAAAGTAAAATTGTGATTAGGAACTTTAACCAAAACAAAACACAAATTATGTCCTCAATAACATGATACATATAATTGTTGAACCAAGAACACATTGTATTATTTCACATAAAAAACACAATTTTTCAGCCATATATAACTGCATTCAGTCATTTTTGCTGTCATATAGCTAAAGGTTAACCATTTTTATCGATTTTTTTTTTTTTTTGGAACCCCAGGATTACTCGCCGCCGCTACAAAGTGTGGTGAGCACTTTGTGCGCACTGGGTAAACCCCCCACTGTGTAATAGCCTGCAAACCACACAGGGGATGTAAACCGCACTAGGCAAGCCCTATGCGACAAGCTCGACTCAGAAGGCATTGAGGGGGGATCGATCCCGGGTCATCCGTGTGAATAACCACCCTCCAAACCAACTGAGCCATCCTGAAGGATATTTTATCGAAACTTCAATCATATAAAACTTTCAATATCACAATACTTAAACTTGTTCCAAAATAAATAGACATGCAAATTAAACAATGATGTTCAAATATAATATCCGGTAAACATTTAACGTTAGTCTAGTAGTGCCAAAATTGATTCAACCCATTCAATTACTTGCCTACCTTTTAATGGGTTGGGCTTGAAAGATTATTTTGATGGGCTGTATTGGAGTTTGGACTAAAATTAGGACAAATTACTTAACTACACTCTTTTACTTACCTTAATATCCATTTATCCCTACTTATTTCAAAAATTTCAAAAATCCCTTATTTACCTATATATCCTGCATGTATCCCGTGCACAACGCTATGTATCCCGCTATGTGGAATGTATCAAACCTAATGTATCCCGTGCACAACGCTATGTATCTCACTATGTGGAATGTATCAAACCTAATGTATCCCGCAAACATCATTTTTAAGGGATTTTTGGTAAATAGAAAAATAGAAGGGATATGATGTTATTTAGTACTTATAATATGTGGTTCCTATAATTTATACCTAAAATTAAGTTAGCCCAAAAACAAACCAACACTTGGGAGGACGTATTAGGTGAGATGTATAAGAATAATATTTAATTATTTATATATAAATTAGCATAATTAAAACTTTGTTTCTTATTTGCTTCTACAAATAAATATTGCAAAAATAAGGTCTAAATGGACGGTTTGGCTATGATCCGTACTTATTGTTTTGCCTATTTTTGTTCAGTCTGTTTTAATTTAAAGTGAAACTTCAGACATATTTGGTTAATGTCATATTTATTAATTCAATATATTTTAATTCGTTCAAATTCAAACAAACGGTCCATATACCACTCTCAAAATTAAAGGGCCCCTACCTGTTTATTAAGATACAACGAGTAATACCATATGGCACGCCACTACCTTTTATAAGAAATACTAGATAATGTTGCCCGTGCGATGCACGGGCCCAATAATATAAATGATATATTTTGGGGCTAATAATCGAGTTTTTGAAGCGATTGTTTGCGTGGATAAAGGAATAAGTTTTTTTATCACAAATATGTACTTTCTTTGACGCTATTTAAGGCATAATAAGGCTACCCGCATACAACATTTTGTAAATATTTTATGTTGTCAATTATCATGATTTATAGTATTTTTACGATAGATTCACTTCAAGAATCAGTGGAATTTTTTGTATTATTTTCAAAACATATTTTATGTTGTCAATTATCATGATTTATAGTAATTTTACGATAGATTCACTTCAAGAATCAGTGGAATTTTTTGTATTATTTTCAAAACATATTTTATGTTGTCAATTATCATGATTTATAGTATTTTTACGCAATTTTTAAATATAAAAAAAAAGACAAATAAATTAAAATGGACCCAATATATGTTATTTTTGTTGTGTCAATTTATGTGACACAAATGAAATTTGGAGAGTCATCCAAATTTTCATATTTTTTTTAAAAATGTTTTAAGTTATTAATTATTGTGATTTATAATATTTTTGTATAACTTTGAAATAACGTACATTACTGGTCACTTTGTCCTAATTTATGTGATATGGATAAAATTACAAAATTAACCCTTTTAAAATGTCTTTCAGATATTTTAAGTTGTTAATTATTATTATTTATAATACTTTTTTGGTAATTTTAAAATGATATGTGTTATTTTTTCTGTCCCAATATATGTGAGCCTGATAGAATTCTGAGAGTCAACCTATTTTATTATATAGCTTTTAAATATTTTAAATTGGTAATTATTGTAATTTTTAATGCTTTTTAAGTCATTTGTAAATGATATATTGGACTTTTCCATTTCCTTGATTGGGACTTTTCCATTTGTGATATATATATATATATACTAGTAAAGAAAGCCCGGGCGCTGTCCGGGCCCAACATTAATAAGGTTATATTGTTACTCTCTCCGTCCCATATTAGATGAGAATCTTACTAAAAATATTTTTTCATATTATTTGAGCACTTATTAAATTAGGATAGAATTAATTAATTCTTTTCCATTTTACCCCTACAATTAATATGACCATTCCTATATTGTATGTGTATTTTTTGTAACTCATTTCAATGTGCATTGATATAAACAAAGGGCAAAATGGTGAAGTCTTCCAATGTATTAATGATTTCTTAATCATCGTGTAAAGTTGGAAGTGCCCATCTAATATGGGACGGACGGAGTATAGTTTATGTATTGTTATAAAATTAGTAAAGATTGTTATAATATATTTTGCTCATAAGTGAGCTAATATAGAAACTTATTTGTCATTTGTCTTTTTAATTTCAATTTTAAATAGCAAATAAATGTAGCGATAAGATTGAGGGTAGAAATGAAGCATATCTTTCTAAATTTAAGTAAAAATAAACAGAGTAGAAGTAACATTAGGGTTATCGATAGGACGATTCATTCGGTTATTTAAAAAAAAATTATATCATTCAATTTTTCGGTTATTTTATAATGTAAAACCAAAATTAAAATTTTAAAATCATCCCAACCCTAATTTATGGGACAGAAGCAGTACACAAATTAGTCTTTTTTTTGTTGTCTTGTAGATATTTTAAGTTATTATTATTGTAAATTATAGTACTTTTTATTAAAGTTTTTAATAACATATGTTACTTTTTATGTTTGAGAGTTAAACCAACTTTTTTTTATATGTCTTTTAATTTTATATGTGTTTTGTCCTTTTCCATTTTGAAAAACCAATACTCTCTCCATTTTATTTTATATGTCATTTCTTTTTATAAATATATTGGTTATTCCCTCTTCTTATTGGAACACATGTTGACTTGTGGTAAATACTTATTCCCTCTTCTATAGGACGATTCATTCGGTTATTTTTTAAAAAATTATATCATTCATTTTTTCGGCTATTTTATAATGTATAACCAAAATTAAAATTTTAAAATCATCCCAATCCTAATTTATGTGACAGAAGTAGTACAAAAATTAGTCTTTTTTTTGTTGTCTTGTAGATATTTTAAGCTATTATTTATTGTAAATTATAGTACTTTTTATGTTTGAGAGTTAAACCAACTTTTTTTTATATGTTTTTTAATATTATATGTATTTTGTCCTTTTCCATTTTGAAAAACCTATACTCTCTCCATTTTATTTTATATGTCATTTCTTTTTATAAATATATTGGTTATTCCATCTTCTTATTGGAACACATGTTGACTTGTGGTGAATACTTATTCCCTCTTCTTATATAGTAAAATATATATATTCTACTATATTATAAAAGCTTTTAAAAGTCCCACAAGTATAATATATAATATTGAAGATTGGAAAAAGTTCCAATCTTGAATATTATATATTATATTTGGGCCTAAACTCCCTTTTATAATATAGTAGAATAGAAATAGAAATAGAAATATATATATATATATATATAATTAATTTTATTTTAAGTTGTTAATTATTATTATTTATAATACTTTTTGGGTAATTTTAAAATGATATGTGTTATTTTTTCTGTCCCAATATATGTGAGCTTGATAGAATTCTAAGAGTCAACCTATTTTATTATATAGCTTTTAAATATTTTAAATTGGTAGTTATTGTAATTTTTAATGCTTTTTAAGTCATTTGTAAATGATATATTGGGACTTTTCCATTTCCTTGATTGGGACTTTTCCATTTGTGACATATATATATATATATATATATATATATACTAGTTACAGTAGCCCGTGCTAGCACGGGCCCAACATATATTTTTATTTTTTATTTTAATTTATATGACATTAATAAAATTTTAACGGTCAAACAATTTTTTTGTATGTTCTTTAAATTTTAAGTTGTTGATTATTATGGTTAATAATACTTTATATGTAATTTTCAATATTCTCTTTGTCCCAATTTATGTGTCATTGATAGAATTTCAAAAGTCAAGCAAATTTTGTATATGTCTTTTAGATTTTGAAGTTATTTAATTATTATGAGTTTTAGTACATTTTACGTATATGTTACTTTTTCTATCTCAAACTATGTGGCATTAGTAGAATTTTGAGAGTTGATCAAATTTTTTGTATGTCCTTTAAATTTTGAAGTTGCT